TTCAATCAAATTTATCGACTTAATTGTGTAACTAATGTGTCTGCTAAAGTCCGGGGCGCAGACGCTAACACATGAACGTTGTCTGAAGTGGTTAGACGACTGATGGAAGCATTCTCTTTACCACCGGGTAGTTTCACACTACCGCAATGAGGTTTGAAATAGATTTGGTTAACTTCCTCCCTCTGAGGCTCATACTAGGAAGACGACCGGCCCACCGTTTAGGCGAAACTGGGCCTTGAACTGTAAGTCAGGGAGGCATAAAAGACCCACGCGGAGCAGAAGAGTCGTTCGTAAGGTGTATTCGTGGCCGTACATAATAAGGAACGAATTGAATGCATCGCGTCCCGGAAGACATCTTGCAACTTCGTTATTGGTACGTTTCTGATTTTCAGAACAAGTGAAATAGTCTCCCAGAGTATACCATTCAGGTATCCCCGTTGAACGTTAGCGTGTGGGTTGTAGGCAGTCGTGTGGGTGGTTGCTACTCTTTTACTCCTCATGAACTGGACTAATTTTGGCCATATGAAAAAACGGCAGGATGTGGTTGAAGTTCGAAGAAGTGTTCTTGGTTGTATGGGGGCTGCGGTACTGCCATGATGCCCAGACATAGACAAGAGAACGATTAGGGTCCTCAACCGAAATCTTTGGCTCAAAAGCCTGTCCCCAAGGCAGCGGTGGAGTATTAGTGGTTTGGTTTTACAAACAGACGCCATCCCATTTTCAATCCGCAACCTGGAGTACCAGTAGACTGAGTTTGTCTGACTTCTAACCATTGACCAATATGGTAGGAGTAGTTCTGAAAGGGCCGGGGGCATCTCCCAGTATAGCTCATTGAGTCGAAGCCGTCGCACTACATTAAAGTCCAGCCGCTATGAGACTGGAAGTGGTTCGACATGTGCTGGTCTTGTTGAAACGTAATACAGCTCCTGGATCCGACCACTATATCCATATGTTATGGTACTCTGTCATTTGTGCTAGTGTACTTGCTTCTCTGTTTAACTATATTTGGGACGCAGAAGGCATTCCTTCAGACTGACGACTGTCCACTATCGTGCGCATTAGCCTTATATCCACTGCCTTCAAACATGGGTATCTTTTTTGACGACTCACTGCTCTTCGCGAGAGCCGAATCATTGAACGTTATGCCGGCTCCCTCTCTGATCCTAGTTGCATCAGCCGCATATTTACTCCGCCAAGTGTTAGAGCATAGACACACAAACAGGCGACTGACTATGGTGGTTTCTCTTGACTTGAAAGCCGCCTTCAACTCTGTTGATCGCGTCAGCTTGTGGCACTGCTTATCTGAAGGGCGTGCCAGCTAAATTCCTTTTCATTATGCAACCTCTCTACCGTGACTCCCGGGGCCGTGTAATGGTCTGCGAGGAACTGTCTCCTGAGTTTCCCACGACAAGTTGTCTTCACCAGGGTTGTCCTATTTCTCATTTCCTCTTCAACTTTGTGATGAATTAATCATGCTTTGATCGATTATTTCCATCTATCGGATTGAAAGTACTGCGAAGTGGCCAACTAACAAACTTTGAGTATGCGGACGACATAACTCTCTTTAGGTCTGACGAAGTGACTGTGCAAACATTGCTTCATTGACTGGTGCGTAGCGCTGTACGCTTCGTTATGTGCTCTGCCCCTTCAAAGTGCTGTTACAGCACTAGACCAAATTTTACCACCAGCGAACAACAACTAGAAGTGGTGGATCGGTTCACCTACCTTAGTAGCTGTGTCACCTCTGCTGGTCACATCACTAAAGAGGGTATTTCACGTGTCACCAAGGCCCTGTGGATTTCCAGTGGGATGTCGCCCTCTCAGTGGAAGGTAGGGTGTATAACTCTGCTATTACTGTATGGACAGCTCGTCGTGAAGACATTAAACGCTTGGCCCTATTTGACCACCGGTACCTGCAGAACATCGCTCACTTCTGGTAGGAACATCGGGTTAGCTTTGCTGACATCCACCAGTTGGTTTTTTGAAAAGAAACTTGGTACCTCACTTGAGTGTTTGCTGATTCTTAACCGCGTGCCTTGGCTACGTCTTGTCCTCTGTACGCCCGATGACCGACTTCCTCGGTGTGCATCATGTACCAAGGTGAACGGATGCACGATGTAGCCAGTGCATGACGCAACATAGAAGCATGAATAAATCGAGTGTCTTGGTCGGATTGGTGCGTTCCGTCTTTGTGGATGAGGATTTCGTGATGGTCCACATTAATAGTCAGAGACCCTATCGGACATTGAGTAGTTACGCAGTCAATGGCGTGCGTGCATTCCGTTTCTTAAATCTAGCCGGTAATTTTCATTCTATCTAAATTTGTTTAACGCGTCTTCTCTCCTGATTCCATTGTTATACATTTTATTTGTATTCAACCTCATTTTATCGCCATTGTTGCTAATCTGACGATGAAATTCGTGAAAATCGGGTCCATCTATTTCGGTGCCTAAATCATAGTTGTTCAACTGGACTGAACCGAACATAGGCAGGTAGTTTAGGCCGCCGTCGTCTTATTTTGTCATTTGTTTATATTACTGTTATGTCTGGTACCATACATGATGTCCACGGACCGCTGATCGGTTTGAAGTGTGTCTCGAGGTAGTGAAGCCACTTTCGAACAGCTTCTACAGTAGTGCACCCTTCTCGACGGCGGAGGGGTATTTTCCGCTAGGAGATAGGCTGCGCGAGAAAGAACACCGGTCGGTCGTTTCGACCCAGGGACGCACCGATGGCTATGCCAGGTGTGCGCATTTCGACAAACGAAAGAATACTATAATCGACCGTCACGAGCACGACATTTTCTAAGGTCAGTTTGATCCGTTCGAATGCACTTTCCACATACGATGAAAGAGGAAGTACTCGGAATCCACTGCGAGTAATAAGCGAACATACGGACAGCTCGCTTTTGGGATTTCATGTCAGCAAGCGGTGGGACTAGACGTCGAGTCTTCATCCACACTAGTCTCGTCTCTAGCTAACTTGCAGGACAATGGTACTGATGGTGTTTGTATAAATGCAATTAGTGATGCTACCTCCAAAGTGATTCATGGCTCATATAATAGTAGTGGATATTTTTCACGTTGTGCTGTCGGCAAACTCGAACAGATTCCGCAGACTATCAGTGACTAGCGCCCGTCCTGCCAGGTCTCAACATTACGATGAATATAGCATACTATAGGTCCATGTACTTACTGCTGTGTCAGGTCAAACCAAGTCATGTGAAAGCATTTTCAGCACTTTGCACTAACCCTGCACCTATACCACGGCGTACGATCGGTGGGGAAATAATGCAGTGATAAGGAAAAGAAAACCCCCAATTTCAACTGCGTGGAAGAACTAGATACCGTAAAGGGTGCGACTGCTACCATTGTACGTTGAATCATACGTCCTGCTTTACACACAGCCTGTCAGAATCCGGCCTATATGGCGAGACGATGATCTAGGCTAATATTGCATACATTTCCATTAACTGGAGAGCATTATTTGCTCTGCCAATAATGGGGACTTTCTTTTTCCATTTACAGTTCAACCAGGTTTATAGCTCGGATCACAAACGAACGTTATTAGTGGGTTTGGCAGCCACAAAACGTGAAGATGCAGACGTAGTTGAAATTTCTTATTCCCTTTTACTCTAAGACATAAGTATGATTGCCGCCATGTAAACGGTAGGGTCTCGTTCCGCTGTGTTTCTCTCGTGACAAGCACTGATAGTTCTGTAGATCTGAAAGCTTGCTTAATTTCGTGGTTACGACTCCCAGAAACTAGAGAGTGCGTACTTATGTCAACTAATGTGAGTGCTTTATGCTTTTTGATACATTGCTCGGTTCAGTGTAGATGCTGGTGCTGCTTACTATTGTTTGGACGGACTACGTCAAGAATCTTACGACGTTATTTCACTCTTCATTACACCTGTCAGTTTATGCCTCCTATCTATCACTGGCCTCGGTGTTTTGGTCTTATTGCTCAAACGTTAGTTGCATTATTCGATTTTCGCCTTCTTGAGCTTTTATCAGTTACCGCCGAGTGGCCTTTTTACTGGTCCTCCGGTTCTCACAAAATGAAATGGCAGCATTTACTATCCCGCGTGATGGCACTAACAACTCTTCATTTCCCTCCTTCTCATTGATTCGGATGCTGCGCTGCCTGCGTTTTTCTTCACGCACGTCTCGCACTCTCTGATGCATGGATTGTACTCATTCTGTTTTGTTCAGCGTTTTGTCTTGGGATAACCTACCACTTTGCTCTCATACATGCTTGCATTTCTGTTGGCCTGTTGCTTGGCATGTCTGCATCTTGTTGTGTGTATTCAACCTCAGGATCGAGGTTTGCACGACTTTCTCTTGGTCAGCTCTCTGAATTGAGTACTTTAGATACTGACTTACTTAACTGTTTGGCCTGCGAACGGTTATTTACATGGCGGAATCCGTTCCCCCTTGTGGCAAGCAATACGTCCTGTGATATTGCTGTCACCGATCTTATAATGTGCCGTTTTCCTGTGTGATTCTCCCACTTCCAAATGAATTGCTCATTTAATGCTTTTGGTGCCTTGTTTCTGTTTTCCCTGCGCTTTTAGTCCACCGGCTGACTCACGATCCGAACCTTCCTGGTACGCTCGCTCGGGTAACGACGCACCCTAGTACTCACCTTACTTTCAATCTATCATGTGTACGGTTGATCGCTCATATTATCAGTCGGCTCGGCCGATTCGTACCTAGGTGCTTGTCATGCGATTTGCTGCTGTCCTCTTTCTGTGTCTGTGTCTCTCTTCTATCGTTTGTGGCACTTGCATCCGCACATCCATACGTACACACTTTGTGGTGATCCTCCTGTTCCTAATTGTTTTCTCTACTTTTTTTCTTGTGCGCGCGCGCCGATTGATGCCGGTACCCTCGCGCTTCATGCTTTGCTCGCTTACTTTGTCTGTTGAACCTAACCCCTCCCTACACTTCGCACGCCTCATGCCATCACTTTTTCCGCTTTGCATTATTATGCTGAAGACCAATGGGGTCGGTGCCGATCAGCGCAGATCCGAGGATGGTTCCAAATCGACCGAACAAAGTCCGCCCGATCGAATAGTGGCCTCGTACGCTGCAGCTGCGCATGCTGCCGCCTTGGTCAATCATCAGCCGGTTTCAAAAGCAGCGGAAAACTTTCTGTCCGCCTCATCAATCCCTCGCACTAGACATGCGAAGCGGTCCAGGGCCCATGCTACGAATGGCCTTGGTCGCTTCAACTCGTCCGAGACTTCCGTCCCTCCGCGTAGTGATGTACAATTGTCTTTACCTTCATCCTCACTCACGTCCTCTGCGGTGAGTACAACGACTGAAAGACGGGCTGGGTGGGCACGTATCGTTGACCAAAAGGCTGGTACGGTGGAATACATTACGTAAGTCCTTCCTTTTATGTCCTTGTTTTTTTGAGAATTCTCTCCGACGGCCTGATTAATTTTAGGTGTTTACGTGCGTTTATGTTAGATGTTCACCTTGAAGTGCTGTTTTAGTTAACTTCGGACATTATCGTTCTTATCTTTATAGTTTAATTTTCTAGTATTTATTTCATCAATATTTCTTCGTTGTTGTCATCGAGCAGTGGTGCGATTAAAACTGGCAACTTCCCGACATCTCATGACACGTCAGGCTTCGTTCATATCTAGGTCACTTAAATTACGACCAATAATATTATGTAAGAATTTTCTTAGGTGATCTGCGCATGATTATGCCGCTCATCATCCTCATCAACAACACGTTAGCTGAGGGTGAGAATCACATCAGCTAATGTGCCGCAATACGAAAATATAAGATCCTAGACATTACAGACTACGGAACTAAAAGGTGGGTAATGTAATGCTAACTATCATATTATAAATTAGGTATGATATCGTAATTGGAGGGGAATTTATAGGGGAGGTACAAAGAAACCCACCACGTAATCACCATTGAGATCGGCTCCGTGCCGTATCAACAACTGTGTCCAACTAGACGTGTCCATCGTCCTTGCGATTTCGGCCTGACAGTCGGGGAACACCAACCGACGCCAAGATCGAAGTGCCGCCCTTCTTCTTGACCAAGTCATCGCTTGCCCGATCCTCCTCTTACATCCACAGCCCCGGCAGGCAAACAACGCACTTCGCGGGAGTCTATGTACTGGCGTGCGCAACACGTGGTCCAGCCATCAGAGTCTGACATGTGATGTAATGGCGCTGAGCGGTTCATTCGCTCTTCCTGCACCAAATACACGACGCCGAACACGTTCAATACTCACGCGGTGTTTCCACCAGACATGAGCCAATATGCGAATGCAGCGATAGTCGAACGTAACAACTCTCTTTATGTCCGTCGACTTGATAGGCCACGTTTCGCAACCGTACAGGAAGCTTGAACGGACGACAGCATTGTAAACTCTGCCCTTCAGGACGAGAGTGATGTCGCGCCGACGCCGCAGGTGGCGCATTTGCTATACAGTTCGTGATATCATCCTCCATTCCACTGGCGCTGATATTGCCGTCTGTAGATATCTGAATTTCCAGATGACTTCTAGCTGATCACTGCCAATCATCAGCGCAGGAGTGGGTCTTTGCCAGTCATGAAAAGGGCTTTGCATTTCGAGGATGTAAAGCATAGTCCGAAAGGAGTGACAGTGAATGCTAATCTGTCCAGTGCTATTAGATTTGTTTCGGTGATGTCACAGATAAGGGCATTGTCGTTAAGAAACGGCTCCACACCTTGCAGCTCGTGTCTAGTGAACGCCGTTTCCATGGCTTCATCAGTGGCGAAGTTAAAAGGGGATGGTGACAGTGGGCAACCTTGCCTCACACTGCTGGAGATATTAAAGGGCTGCGACACTTTGTTATAAACCCCCACTTCGTTCGAGCCATGTGTCTACAGCGTTCTAATAATGTTTACATTTTTATCGAGCACGCCTTTCCTAAGTCACCAGTCCCAGAAGACACATCGATCCACCAAATCGAAAGTACTTTTGATGTCGAGGAACACGACTACGGTGGATCGGTAATAAATATGACGGTGTTCCAACAATAGACGTGATGTGGAGGAGTGGTCGATGCAGCCTCGATTTCGACGAAACCCGGCTTGCTCCACACTAATCTGGTTTTCACGAGTGCCAGCCAGTCTGTGGAGAACTACGGACGTGAGCAATTTAGTGGTAATTAAGGTCAGACTGATTCCGGACGTGAGCCTCTCCTAAAATTTGAGATTGTACCGAAGCGGCTCCAGTCTGTTGAGACTGTCTTCTGCTCCTATTACTTCCCTAACAAGTTGTGCAAATCATCCATAAGAGCTGGGGGAATATTCACTCATGTGGCCTTACTCGATTTCAGCCTTCTGATCTCACCTTCGACTTTTCTACATGAGGACAGGTCCAATGGACTGCCCAGGGAGATGGACGATCATTGACCAATAAGGAAGGTGGCAACTCTGGCTGACTTAACTACTTTTCAAAGTGTGCTGTCCAATGCTGCAAGCGTTTCGACAAGCTATTGATTAGATGCTCATTCTCGTCGTACATAGTCTCACAAATACCAGGTCTCCTTTGCCCGTTTCGCGTACCAGACGGAATAACTTCCCATAAGTACCTAGGGCATGTGCTGTGTCCATTTCTGATGCGCGATGAGACCACAAGGCTTCGCGGTCTCTCTTCAGGTTAACACACAGTTTCGTCCTGAGGATTTTGTGAGTCTCATTTTGTTCGCTTCCAGCCGGAATGTGTCGGTGAGCGTCCAAAAGTTCCAGAGACTGCGTAGAGACCCAGTGTCCAGATTGGCGATTTGATTGGCCCCATAAAAGCATGCCGCCTCTACTAACGTCTGGTGGATATACGACCAATGATATGCAGCTCTGTTCACTGAGAGTACTCAACCCACGTGCCAGCTTACTTTGGTACACACTCAGAACATCTGCTTGCGCCAGCTGGTTGGTACCTATGCGCTCACGGTGCCGTTGCGGATGTCCGCCAAAAGGTGCCCGTAGGTTGACACATACCCGTGCGTGGTCGGAGTCCACGCTCGTGCTCCAAATTGAGTAGCAGTTTTGGACGCAGCCTGTCCAACGGTAACTGATTGCGATATGATCGATTTGTGTCCATGGCTAGTCTGAGGTTGGTGGGCGCTATGTCATCATTCTGCTGGTGCTGTGTCGTACGTTTATGCTTGCGAGACATAGACGAGCATCTTCACGCAGATATAGCAACCCCTCACAGTTATCATTACGGAAGCCTTCACCACGTTGACTGCCCAGATGAAGCTCATCAATGGACAATTTTCCTGCTTGGGCGTTCGTGCCTCCAGCATGCCCTTTTCCTGTAACGAATGAGCTCGTTCGGTTAATGATAGAAGTTATCCTTCAGCCAGTCGGTGCTACAGTTTGTGGTGACGTTTGCAGAACTGACAAACAGGCACCGTTTGTTTATTCGCGACTTCGAATTTTTGAACGAGCCAACGAATCAGACAGAGCACATCCCGTTGTCCATCGGGATCCAGTCGATCTGGGTAACTTTAACCTGGGGGCTCAAAACAATGCCCACACCGACTTGTCCGGCAATTGAAGCTGCGTCATCTCCGGACAGGTGGAATAACAAATTATTACCAGTGCCGTATATGGTGATCACAGGGTAAGCACAGAGCTGGAATCTTGCAGGCGGATTCCCGATAAACAACATGTCGATCGATAGGGTCTCTTATGTTCGGGCAAGTACTGCCTGCTGACCACTCTGTAACAAAGCGTTGATTCAGTCGATACTCGGGCTACTTTACTGACATCCGCCTAAACATCGAAATAGAGGTCCACATTCGGATGAGGTTGGTTTCCGAGTGATGGTTTTTTCCTACCTCTGCTCTTTCAATATGAACATAATTATGTCAACTGAACGTATACCTTATGAACGGAAACCGATTCGACGTACACGGATTGCCCTGTTTACTTTCCCGGATTCCGTCGACAATCCAAAAATTCCCATTTAATAGAATGAATCAAAGGAACGCAGATTCTGTGTGATGCATTCTTTTCGGTAAATCTCGTCAAGCTCAAATTTTACGTGATAACGACTGCATACTAAATGTAATTAGATAGTTTGATTTCAAAAAAACGAATCGATAGATCACGAGGTCACTGAAGGTAGCAGATTATGTACAAGGGTAAATCGCCTTAAACATAGATTAATTGGGACACAAATCATACGTCATACGTGGGCCACGGTAGAAGGAGCGTACAATTCGTTTTTGTACGCATAACTCCGGCTTGTGGCAACAGATAGCTTCTGTGATGCATAAATGTTTTCGTACTCCGCTTGAGAAACGCTCGGATATGGAGTAGAAGACATTGAAGTCATTTTCCGAGCATGCGTGACGGCACTCCAAGCATCAACTATTGGAAGACGGACTTCAACGGACTCGTCCAAGCCGCAAGTCAGACTGATTGGAAACTACCACATGATGCGTCACTTGAGGCGTGGTGGTCATTAATAAAGGGGGAGCTTAACTCGCTCTGTACTCGGTTCGTTCCCCTTAAGTATCCAAAAATCGGACCTGTCAAACCGCATTGGTTTGATAGGGAATACAGACAGCGCGACGACGTCGTAAACTTTGGGATAGATACATCAGCTCGGGTTGTGATGAAGATTACGCGGTGTACAAGAAACAGCGTAACTTATGTAACGCCGCAAAGATCAAGCAACGCCGGCAGTTCAAAGAGGAGCTAGCATCCTCGGCCGCAACTGCACCCAAGCGAATATTTGCCTACTTGAAACGTCAACTGAAACCTGGAGACGACCTACCGGTCTTGGAGAGCTTAGACGGGAAGACACTCATTTCAAGCGCGGAGCGCGCGGACGCCCTGGCTACGCACTTCCTCACTGCGTTTTCCAGTAAACCGGCGGCTGTTCCAATACCGGCACAGGTTGCGCAAGTCTTGCTCGACAGCCTACAATGTGATGCAGTCGAAGTACATCAGCTACTTGTCAACCTCAATGGTGCAAAGCCCCCCGGACCAGACGGACTTCACCCACTAATACTCAAGTCCCTATCGATTATCATCTCACCAGTTGTGACAAACATTTTCAATAGATCGCTCTCTGAAGGATCCGTCCCGAACGACTGGAAATGCTCGATAGTTAAACCGCTTCCCAAGGGTGGTGATCCGAGTAAAATATAGAACTATAGACCGATCTGTTTGACTTCGGTATTATCCAAAGTTCTCGAGAAGGTTGTGAAAAGTGTCTGCTATCGTTCTTCGAATCGATGGACGTATTGACGCCAGCGCAACACGGCTTTACGAAAGGGCGATCCTGCATCACCAATTTGATGTACGCAAACCACCAGTGGGTTCGAGCTCTCAATGAACAGAAGGATGTTGACGTGGTGTACATCGACTTTAG